CACGATCTCTGTTCACTGCAACCCTCACCTCTTGGATTCAAGCAATTCTCCCCTCTCAGCCTCCCAAGTAGCTGGGACTACAGGCACCTACCACCACGCCTGGTTAATCTTTGTATTTTTAGTAGAGGTGGAGTTTCACCATATTGGACAGGCTGGTCTCGAATTCCTGACCTTGTGATCTACCAGCCTCAGCCTCCCAAAGTCCTGGGATTACAGGTGTGAGCCACCATGCCCAGCCATAATAATTTTTTAAAGAGAATTTTCTCAGGAACACAAGAAAACCTAATTATAACCAAACAGTGTGTTTAGTCTATGTGGAAATATTTTTATCAAAACATAAACTATTTGATCTGGAAAATTTTTCTCTTTTTTATTTGAGATGGGAGCCTTGCTCTGTCACCCAGGCTGGAGTGCAATGGCACAATCTCGGCTCACTGCAACCTCCACCTCCTGGATTCAAGTGATTCTCTTGCCTCAGCCTCCTGAGCAGCTGGAATCACAGGCGTGTGCCACCATGCCCAGCTAATTTTTTACTTTTAGTAGAGACGGGGTTTCACCATGTGGTCAGGCTGTCTCGAATTCCCAACCTCAGGTGATCCGCCCACCTCTGCCTCCCAAAGTGCTGGGATTATGGGCGTGAGCCACTGTGCCTGGCTGAAAATGTTAAATTACTAAATCATTAGGAACATCCAGTTTTGTAGACTCTATTCTTCTTAGTTGCTGGGAAAAAAGAAAACTCAGACCTCCTTTGAAGATGAGGCCTAACTAGATATCTGTCTTTCCTGTCTGGAGTGGGAAGAAAGGAACATAGTTTGCTTCTTTAGTGCTTTGTGAGATTGTTACATTGCCACTGACTTTAATACTTGGAAAACTAGCCGGGCTTGGGGGCTCATCTGTAATCCCAGCACTTTGGGAGGCCAAGGCAGGCGGATCACCTGAGGTCAGGAGTTTGAGACCATCCGGCAAACGTGGTGAAACTGTCTCTACTAAAAAATTGGCTCACTGTGGTGGTGCATGCCTGTAGTCCCAGCTGCTTGGGAGGCTGAGACAGGAGAATCTGTTGAACCCAGGAGGCGGAGGTTGCAGTGAGTTGAGATCACGCCATTGCACTCCAGCCTGGGTGATGAGCGAATCTCTGTCTCCCGACAAAAAAAAAAAAAAAAAAAAAACTTGGAAAGCCACAGTATATTTTTCTGTTCATGGTATTCTAAATGTTCTTACGTTGAGGGAGCTTACTTTCTTTTTATTGTTTATTTTTTACAGCAGCTGACAACTTTTGAAAGGAGCTCGTTTTCTAACCGTCTGCATGATTTTACATCCTCTGAACCTAGCTGATTACTTTTAGCTTTGATAATGCTCTGATGGACCACAAACATACACTTGTTTGTACTCTGAAAATTTATTTCATTTAGCCTGAAGCTGCAAGCTCATGTAGTTCATGATTTCTTAATTTCTTAGGTCCACATGAGTTATGAAACATGAACCTGCTGCATCAAATATAAAAACCTGTGAATTATGTAGTATATTGAGTATGTATTCATTAGGACGTTTTACCTAGGTGAGTTTCTCTTTGATAGCTCTAGAATCATCAGCTATCATTAGTTGGTCATTATAGCTTGACTCTAAGAGATCCACTTAATCTCTGGCTCCTGGGGTTGTTGTAGAAGTCAATATTAGGACAAAATAATTTCAAACTAAAAGTACCTGCCCTCTTTTCTCCAAGATGGGAACTATCTAGGATCTTCTAGGCACGCTCAGCTAAATCCCATGTGATAAAATTTTGTTGATTAATTTTTCTTTTGGTCTTTGTTGTACACACTAGGATGCATTTTAATAGCTTTATTAAGGTATACTGTACCATAAAATGTACCCTTTTAAGGTGTGTAATTGAAAGGTTTTTTAAAGTAAATTTACGGTTGTACAGCCATCATCAAAACGCAGTTTTAGAACTTTTCCACTGACCTAAAACAATCCTTTTTGCCCATTGGTAGTCATTCTTCATTCCTACCACTAGCCCCAGGCAAACACTAATCTGTCTGTTTCTATAAATCTGCCTTCCTGGAAATGTCATGTATGTAGAAGTGTGTATATATGTTGTCTTTTGAATCTGGCTCCTTTTACTTTGTATAATCTTTTTGAGGCTTATCTGTGTTGTAGCATGTATTTTTTTTTTTTTTTTTGAGGCGGAGTTTCACTCTTGTTACCCAGGCTGGAGTGCAATGGCGCGATCTCGGCTCACCGCAACCTCCGCCTCCTGGGTTCAGGCAATTCTCCTGCCTCAGCCTCCTGAGTAGCTGGGATTACAGGCACGCGCCACCATGCCCAGCTAATTTTTTGTATTTTTAGTAGAGACGGGGTTTCACCATGTTGACCAGGATGGTCTCGATCTCTTGACCTCGTGATCCACCCGCCTCGGCCTCCCAAAGTGCTGGGATTACAGGCTTGAGCCACCGCGCCCGGCCTGTAGCATGTATTAATAGGCCCTTTTACTGCCAAATGAGGTTCTTTTGTATGAAGATAACTACATTTGCTTATCCATTCACCAATTGATGGACATTTGGGTTGTTTCCAGGTTTTGGTGATTGTGAATAATGCTGTGAACAGAAAATGCACTTTTGAAGATGACTCTATGGAGTTGCCTTAGTGTAGGGCACTCTGGATGTAAAATTGGTTGATACAAACTGATCATGACTGTCATGGACCAGAATCTGACCTCACTAGCAAATAACACAAATTCAGTACTGTTTTGTTCCTCTGTCCATAGCATAACCCTTGATTGGTTAACCAGTGCAGAAGCAGCTCAGCACCAATAGTCTTTGTTGTTAAGTTTCTTCAGAGGAACTGAAGGCCAGTTGTTGATTTTAATACTTAATGACTGTTACATGTAGACAAAACCCTTCTTAGGGCCCAAAAGGTAATATGTTTGTTAGTGTTATTTTTTATTTTTAAGGGAAAGCTAATATGACTTTTTTATACTAGTGGTCTTCTTCCTAAATCTGGAGTTGGGGATAGTCTTATTCCTTAGAAGATCCTTAAGGGTACTTCTGAGTTTGAAGCTTTGACAAATTGAGAGATGGATGCAGAGCATTTTATAAACTGGCAGGATGACATGTTGGCGAGAAATCCCTAAGGTTTGCAGCAAATCTAGGTCCTTTTGGACTTGTGAGCTGATGTGGTTTGGAAGTGGCATTCTACCAGAGCCGTCCAACAGTACCTCATGCACTGCTGGAAATGCTCCACATCTGCGCACAGCGGAGTAGCCAAGGTGGCTGTTGAGCATTGGAAGTGTGATTAGTTTGACTGAAGAACATAATTTTTATTGTCTAACATTTTAATTAAATGTAAATAACCAAATGTAGCTAATGCATACTGAATTGGATAGGACAGTTCAGATAATTTTTATTAAACTGTCACAAATCAGTTTTTAGTTTCTGTCACCTACATTCTAGATTCTGGATTTTACTGTTGCTTAACTTTGGAAAATGTTACTATTTAGCATGTCTTTCCAGAATGTTGCTTTCTTAATTTGCTTTTGTGCTTTGTATAGGTGGCACAGGAATGGCTTACCTCTCCAAATAAAGAGAATTTCTATCAGTTGCAAGTACGAAAATTTCCTGCCGATTATATAAAATACTGGGAGTTTGTGGGTAAGTTTTTTCTTATGCAATTTGGAATATATGATATAACAACAGATTTCTAATTAAGAGGAGATAGCATTATTTGAATTTAAGGGGACACAAATTTTCTAAGCTAAATTTATGACTTCTTAGAATATGTTTAAAGCCTTAATGAGGATAGTTACTGGGAGAACTATGAATATAAAATTCATGATTTTTTTCCACTCTGTAGTTAGAATGCTACAGACTGGATTGTCAGTGGAGGCTGGGAATGGGAAAGAGGGTGAGTGGAGGGGATTGGTAGGGGTGTTGCTGTAATATAGTCTTGACAGATTCTGAGTAAATCTTCCTGGCATCTGTCTTTTCATTTCATGATTGATCTGAACCACATACCACTCTGTATCCAATTTATAAATACACCAAACATTCAGAACTCTTTAAAATAAAATGATTAAGTCTTTTAACCCCAGCCCCCATCCATCCTACTCTATAGATATGCTTAAGAAAAAAAATGAACATGTGTATATTTTTGGGGAAAGGTACTACATGTTCATTGGAAAACATTTAGGTGTCAGCCAGCCAACAGGCATCATCCACAATTCCCATTATTCAGAGATAATTCCATTACCATTTTGGTGTATATCTTACTGCCAGACTTTCTACTTAACTCATATGGGGCAAGAGTGTGTATGTGGTGTGGGATCATTTTGCTTATTTTGTGACATTTTTCATTTATTCAGCAAATACTGTTTTTATTGATTTGATAGTAGATGATTCTTGATGCCGGGTATGTAGCCGTGAAGAAAATGCAAACTTCCTGCCTTCATGAAGTTTATATTTGATTTATTTTCATGTAATAATTGTGACTATCTTTTCAGAGTTCTTAAATGACAGTGTACAGTATTTAATGGTTGTAGTTATCCCGTTATAAGCATGTTCATTTAACCAGTCATTTTACTTAGACATAAACATTGTTTCTAATTTTCACTATTGTAAATACTCTGAGTAAATCCCTTTGCTAGGCCAAACCATATGTGCATTTTAAGACTTTCAAGTCATATTGTCTGTGCCTACCAAAAAGAATTCCATTTTCATTTCTGACATCAAGATATAAGGATGTGCACCTCTCTTGTTCAGTAATTTAGACCTTTTTTTCCTCCCAGTTCTATATGTGAAAAATATATCCCATTTAAAGCTGGAGTTTTTGTCCCCAAATGTTACTGGTTCTTTGTATTCTTGGGGTTGTGGAAGTAATTGCCTGTTTATGCCCTTCCTCCTTTTATTCTATCAGGGGATATTGTTTTCTTTTTAATTTGTATGCATTGTTACAAGTTTTTTTTCTAATTTCATTATTTGCTCTTCCACTCCCCCACCCACCCCCCCAGACAGGGTCTTATCATGTTGCACATGCTGGCCTCAAACACTTGGGCTCAAACAAACCTCCTGCCTGAGCCGCCAAGTAGCTGGGACTTCTGGGGTGTGCCACTGCTCCCAACTGCTGTTATATTTTTGACATGCAGTTTTTGATGCCAAGATAATTTTAATCTTCATGTATTTAAAACTGCCCTATACTTATTTACAGTTTTATTATATAATTGACCCTTGGACAATGTAGGGTTTAGGAGTGCCAACCTCTTCCACAGTCAAAAATCTGTTTATAATTTGACTCCAAAAACTACTAATAGCTTACTGTTGGCCAGCTAACTTAAAACTTTACTGATAACATAAACAGTCAATTAACATGTAGATTATATGTTACATCTATTATATACTATATTCTTATAATAAAGCTAGGGAAAAACTAAAATCTTAAGGAAGAGAAGATATATTTATTCTTCATTAAGTGGAATGGATCATCATAAAGGTCTTTGTCATAGTCACACTGAGTAGATGGAGGAACAAGAGGAGGGATTTGTCTTGCTCTCTCAGGAGTGGCAGAGATGGAAGAAAATCTGTGAATTAAAATCTATGAATTAGTGGACCTGCGTACTTCAAACCCATCAAACGTACGTTTAGATGCAGTAGCCACAAAGCAGAAAGAAAGCAGGTGTTTTGCCTGACCATGTCATTTGCACACATGGTTTAATAACAGTGAGCCATTTTTAATCAGGGAATGATAACTGTCCTAAAATCCAAGTTCCTAGGTAACAGCCAAGGAGCAGCCTCACAAGGACTTTCAAAGAATAGCAGGCCTGCTATGTTAACTCTTTTCTGCACAGCATGTTTTAATAATGCTGCTGTGATCATCCATGTATCTCTTAGTGCTCTTCTGAATGCATTTTTGTTTAGTTTATATCCAGAAGTAGATTGTGGAATATTAGGGTGTGTATAAGTTCAACTTCAGTAAATAATGCCAAGCTCATTGTACGAAATTATATTCCGGCAGCAGTGTATGAGAAGCTGCATTGTTTCATGTCTTCAGCAATACCTTTGTATGGGTTGTTTCGAGATCTTTAGCTTTCGGGCTGTGTGTATTGAGGGTGTTTTGTGAATTTTTGTCACGTCCTCATTAGGGAGATTGGGCATCTTTTCATGTATTTAGTAGCTCTCTCAGTAACCTCTTTTGGAAAGTGCCTGTTCAAGGCTTTTCTTCATTTTCTGTTGTCTTTTTAAAAATTGATTTGTAGGAGTTGTTTATATAATCTGGATAGAAACCATTTCCTCACTTTGACTTGCATTCTAACTCTTAGTGATGTCTTAAAAATTCCTTTTTCATCCTTTTTGAGAATTGCTTATTTGAACATAGCAAATACATCAGTCTTTTATTGTTAGTGCCTTGTGTCTCATTTCTTAAATGAAGAATAAGAAATCTTTCTCTGTTACAGATTACAAGTTACATTCTCTTGCCTTCCTTTGCCCCCACCCCCATCACCCATGGATCAGGATCTCTTACCTTCTAGAACAAAGATTAGCAAACTACAGCTTGCAGAACCACCTACCCCATGTGTTGTTTTTGTATTGCCCTAGGGTACGGTTTTTATGTACTTATTTCTTTTTTTCTCTCTCTCTTTTTTTTTTTTTTTTTTTTGCAGTAGGATGTTCCTGCATGTACTTTTTTCTTAAATGTAGAGCTGGGGTCTTGTGCTATTGCCCAGGCTGATCTCAAACTCCTGTGTCTGAAGTAATCCTCTTGTGTCATCAACCTTCTGAAGTGCTGGGATTACAGGTGTGACCCACCTTGCCCAGCTGGTTTTACTTCTTTTTTTTTTTTTTTTTTCTTTTTTACATTTTTAAAGCTCTATAAAAAGAAGAGCATGTAACAGACATCATGTGTGGGCCCCAAAGCCCCAAAGAGGAGTTTTGGAAATTTCTTTTTTTTTTTTGGAGACAAAGTCTCACCCAGTCACCAGGCTGTACTTCGGTGGCGTGATCTCGGCTCACTGCAACCTCTGCCTCCGGGGTTCAGGTGATTCTCTGCCTCAGCCTCCCAAGTGGCTGGGAATACAGGCATGTGCCACCCTGCCCAGCGAATTTTTATATTTTTAGTAGAGACAGGGTTTTACCATGTTGGCCAGGATAGTCTCAATCTCTTGACCTCGTGATCCACCCGCCTAGGCCTCCCAAAGTGTTGAGATTACAGGTGTGAGCCACCACACCCGGCTGCTGGGAACACCTTTTCTAGAACATTTGTTGTTTTGTCTGTGACTGAGGCATGGGGGATGGGTTCCATTTTTTTTTCCCCCAAGTGGAGGTCTAATTATCCCAGTACTATTTGTTGAAAGACCATCTGTGCTTCACTGCACATGTGCTTCACATGCTATATTTGTCATGAGTCTAGAGTCCACTTAATGCCTGGGTATCCTTCTGCAGTCTGTTGTTCTTTAGATCATTTGCCTAACCTTGTGCTCATATCACATTGTTTACTTAATCTAGCTTTATAAGAAGTTTTAATACTCGTAGAGCAAATCCTCCTACCATTTTTTTTTTTTTTTTTTTTGAGATGGAGTGTCGATCTGTCACCCAGACTGGAGTGCAGTAGTGTAATCCCAGCTCACTGCAACCTCTACCTCCCAAGGTCAAGCGATTCTCTTGCTTCAGCCTCCTGAGTAGCTAGGACTACCGGTGCGTACCACTATGCCCAGCAAATTTTTGTATTTTTAGTAGAGACCGGGTTTCACCATGTTGGCTAGGGTGATCTTGAACTTTTGGCCTCAAGTGATCCACCCGACTTGCCTCCTAAAGTGTTGATGTGAGCCATGGTGCCTCTCGCCCTCCTACTTTTCTCTACTTTTTGAGTGCCTTGGCTGTTCTTGGCCCTTTGTATTTCCATATAAATTTTAGAGGAAAAGAAGTGGAAATTTGGGAAGAATTGACATCTTTTAATACTTTCTAATTTATGAATAAGGTTGTATGTCTTCAATTATTTAGGTTAAATTTTTTCAGTGTTTTAGTTTTTTGTGAAGAGGTTTTACATATCATCTTTGGTTAGTTTGTCATTTGTAACTTTGTTAGTGAATATTTCTTAAAAATAAGAACTTAAAAATAGGCCGGGCACGGTGGCTCACGCCTGTAATCCCAGCACTTTGGGAGGCTGAGACGGGTGGATCACGAGGTCAAGAGATCGAGACCATCCTGGTCAACATAGTGAAACCCCGTCTCTACTAAAAATACAAAAAATCAGCTGGGCATGGTGGCGCGTGCCTGTAATCCCAGCTACTCAGGAGGCTGAGGCAGGAGAATTGCCTGAACCCAGGAGGCGGAGGTTGCGGTGAGCCGAGATTGCGCCGTTGCACTCCAGCCTGGGTAACAAGAGCGAAACTCCCACTCAAAAAAAAAAAAAAAAAAAAAGAACTTAAAAATAACAATCATACCTAAAAACTTACCAATAATTCCTTCGTATCAGTCAATGTTCAAATTTTCAGTTATAACACCTTTTTTCAGCTTAAGATCCAGATTAGTCCACCCAAAGACATTGGTTGATAGGTCTTTTTGAACTAGAATTCCCTTGTTTTCTTCCCTTACAATTTTTTTTTGCTGAAAAAAATTGAGTTAATTTTGTAGAGTTGATCATGGTCTAGATTTTGCTGATTGCATCTGCTTGGTGGTATTTAGAATGTGTCTCTGTCCTCTGTGTTTTTCTTATAAATTGATAGTTGGATCTACAGAACTGATCCAACTCAGGTTAAATTTTTATTATTTGTTTTTGGCAAAGCTGTCTTATAGTTGGTGATATGTTCCATCCGCAGCAGCAGCTACATGATATCTAGTTTCTTTTTCTGATAATCACAGCTGTTTGTACTTAGTCATTAATTCCGTGAAGGAGGCAAAATGGTGATAATTTAATCATTTCATGTTAGCTTGAATGCTTCTGTAAAGAGAAAATTCTCTACTTCTATTTGGTTATTCATTAGTATAGTTTATAAAGAAAAGGCAGAGTAAATACTTGAATCTTCATCACTTTTCAAAATAATGAGTTTAATGCACTAGTGGGCCAGGTGTGGTGGCTCATGCCTATAATCCCAGCACTTTGGGAGGCCAAGATGGGCAGATCACCTGAGGTCAAGAGTTCAAGATTAGCCTGGCCAACATGACAAAACCCCATCTCTACTGAAAATACAAAAATTAGCTGGGCATGGTGGCACAAGCCTGTGATCCCAGCTGCTCAGGAGGCTGAGGCAGGAGAATCGCTTGAACCAGGTGGGAAAAGATGAAGTGAGCCAAGATTGCACCACTGCACTTCAGCCTGAGCAACAGAGAGAGACTCCATCTCAAAAAAAAAAAAAAAAAAAAAGAATACTGAACTAAACATATTAGCCATTCATTTGGGGTTGTAAAAACCTATTTTGAACAAAAGACTCAAAAATGAAAAGAAATAGAAAGAATTGTTAAAAAAGAAAAGGACACAAAACTGTCTATTATTACAAATGAAAAAAAACAGTTTAACTCAACAGTGGAAAAGCATGAGACACCACCTCAATGAAGTGATGGAAGTTAGCACTGCCAGCGATGAGATTTATCAACGTCATGTACCTCCCAATCTGACAGACTGAGAAGAGCACAACATTACTTCTAATGCAAAACCTGAATTTGACTCACAAGGAAATATCAGAGAAACCCAAACGGAAGGACATTCTGCAAGGTAATTGGACAGTACTCTTTAAAAACATTTAGGCCATGAAAGACAAAGAAGAATGAGGACCAGCCTGTCCTAGACTGAAGGAAACTAAGAAGACATCACAACTGAATGTGATTTGTGATCCTAAATTGGATCCTGGAGCAGAAAATAGACATTTGTGGGAGAACTGGTATGATATGAATAAGGTCTAATTAGCTCTTAGTTTATACCAACTTAAAACCCTGGTTTTGATCATCGTTCTGTATTTATGTAAGATGTTAACATTTGAGGAAGCTTGGTGAAGGTCATAGGAACTCATGTTTTTTAAAAGTCTGAAATTATTTCAAAATAAAAAGTTAATTCCTCCAAGGCAAACCCAACTCCACAGGATTCTTCATCACCTCACTCCATTCCATGCAACTCCCTTCTCCCATAATGAGGGAACTCTGCCTCCTAACAGCAGCTTTCTTACACATTAGCTCTGTTTTACAATATAAAAAATCATTTAAGAACTGTTACTACTATGCCAGTTCTACAACTAACAACAAATTTCATGAATTTTGGCTGTTCTTGTTGCCCAGGCTGGAGTGCAGTGGTGCGATCTCAGCTCACTGCAACCTCTACCTCCTACGTTCAAGCAATTTTCCTGCTTCAGCCTCCCCAGCAACTGGGATTACAGGCATGTGCCACCACACCCGGCTAATTTTGTATTTTTAGTAGAGGAGTTCACCATGTTGACCAGGCTGGTCTCGAACTCCTGACCTCAGGTGATCCACCCACCTCAGCCTCCCAAAGTGCTGGGATTACAGGTATGAGCCACTGCGCCCAGCCAAGGCTGCTATTTCTAAAAGTACTTGTATCACTGTATTTTTTTTTTAGACAGAGTCTTGCTCTGTCTCCAGCTGGAGTGCAGTGGTGCAATCTCGGCTCACTGCAACCTCCGCCTCCTGGGTTCAAGCAATTCTTCCACCTCAGCTTCCCGAGTAGCTGGGACCACAGGCGCGTGCCACCATGCCTGGCTAATATTTTTGTATTTTTAGTAGAGATGGGATTTCACTGTGTTGGCCAGGATGGTCTCGATCTCTTGACCTCATGATCCGCCCACCTCGACCTCACAAAGGTGCTGGGATTACAGGGGTGAGCCACCGTGCCCGGCCTCAACTGTATTCTTAAGGGTTGCTTTTTAAAATTTATCTTTGCTGATTTAATGGTTCAAAAGTCATATATATGTAAAATATACTCTAGCGCTATCAGTTCCATTTATTTATTTAGAGACAGGGTCTTGTTATGTTGCTTAGGCTGGAGTGCAGTGACTATTCACATGTGTGATCATACACACTACAGCCTCAAACTCCTGGGCTCAAGTGATCTTGCTTCAGCCTAATGAATAGCTGGGACCACAGAGGCACCGGCCACTGTGACCAACTCTTTTTATCTATTTTATTATGTGCATGCATTCAGAATTGTCATTATCTTCTGTTAAACCAAAGTACCCCCCTTTTACCTCAAATAAAACTTTCTGGGCCCGGCATGGTGGCTCATGCCTGTAATCCCAGCACTTTGGGAGTCCGGGACAGGCGTTTGAGACCAGCCTGGCCAACATGGCAAAACCCCATCTCTACTAAAAATACAAAAATTGGCTGGGTATGGTGGCAAGCATCTATAATCCTAGCTACTCTTGGAGCTGAGGCAGGAGAATCGCTTAAACTCAGGAGGCAAAATAAAGGTTGCAGTGAGCAGAGATCGGCCACTGTGCTCCAGCCTGGGTAACAGAACAAGACTCTGTATTAAAAATGATAATAATAGAACAGGATGGAGTGCAGCCATGCTGGTACGTCAAGGGGAGAGGCAGCTGCCGCAATAGACGTGTTCCTCATGATCTGGCGCCACAAGATCACCATCTTTTGGGACGCCAAGGAGTCCAGCACAGTGTTCGAGCTGAAGCATATTATTGAGAGCATCCTCAAACAGCCGCCCAACAAGCAGCGGCTGTACAAGGACGACCAGCTCTTGGATGATGGCAAGACACTGGGCGAGTGTGGCTTCACCAGTCAAACAGCACAGCCACAGGCCCCAGCCACCATGGGGCTGGCCTTCTGGGCAGATGACACCTTTGAGGCCCTGTGCATCAAGCCATTCTCCAGCCTGCCCGAGCTGCCTGATACGATGAAGCCCCAGGACTCAGGAAGCAGTGCCAATGAACAAGCAGTGCAGTGAGGTCCCCTAAGAGGCCCATTCCCCCCAGTAAAAGAGATTTGGGAGTCAAAAAAAAAAAATAGTAATAATAATAATGCTTTATCCCTTAATGTCTATTTAGTTTGATATTAACAGAGCTAAGTAAGTTTTCTTTTATTTGGATATACATGGTTATCTTTTACCTACAGGGTTATCTTTTACTTACAATCTAATCCTTGTTTAGGTGTATTACCCGCTAACAGCATATAGCATGCCCAGATTGGTCTTGAAATACCATTTTCAACTAAAATATAGCGAGGCTCCTTAGAAAACTGTAAGTTTATATATGGAATAGAAACAATATATATGATGAACTTGGAACATCCTGTCATAACAGACAGCCCCAGAGCCAGCTAGAAGAAGCTGACTACAATGGACTGAAACACACATGTACGCAATCCATGCACTCATAGTTCTTTTTTTAAGCTTACTTATCTGTTTACTGTTTCATCTTTCAGTTGTATCCAGTTTTGGCTATTAATGAAGGAAGTGGCTGTTAAACGTTAATGTACAAATCTGAATGGACATACATATGTTCTGTAGTCTCATGGATAAATAGGAATGGAATTGTCATGTTTAACTTTATAAGAAGCTGCTAAACTTTCTCAAAGAAGTGTACCATTTTATATTCCTACCAGCATTGTATGAGCATTCCACTTGATCCATTTCCTTGTCCACTTTTTGTTTTGTTGGTGTGTTTTGTTGTTGTTGTTGTTGTTTTATAGACGAGGTCTTGTCATATTGCTCAGGCTGGTCTCAAAGCAGTCCTCCCATCTTGGCTTCCCAAAGTGCTGATATTACAGGTGTAAGCTACTGTGCCCAGCACATTGGTGTTTGTAATTTTGATGATTCAAATGGGTGTGTATAGTATGTCATTGTGGCTTTAATTTACATTTGTAGAATGGCTGACAATGTTTAGCATATTTTTACACATTTACTGGCAATGTACATATCCCCTTCATGTATCTTTCCTCCATTTTTAGTTGGATTGTTTGTCTTATTTTTACTTCTCATTTTTCAGTTCTTTTTATATTCTGGAGACAAGTTATTTATCAGCTTTATATATTGAAAACATTTACTCTTAATCAGTGGACTGCCTTTTAATTTTCCTAACAGTATCTTTCAAAGAGCAAAAGTTTTAATTTTGATGGCATCCAGTTTATCAGTGTTTTTCTTTTATGGTTTATGCTTTTTGTATCCTAAGAAACATTTACCTAACCCATGGTCACAATTTTCTGCTTCTTTTTTCCTTTCTTTTTTTTTTTTTTTTTTTTTTTTTTTTTGAGACAGAGACTCGCTATGTCACCAGGCGCTAGGCTGGAGTACAGTGGCACAATCTCAGCTCACTGCAACCTCCGCCTCCCAGGTTCAAGCAATTCTTCTGCCTCAGCCTCCTGAGTAGCTGGGACTACAGACGTGTGTCACCGCGCCCAGCTAAGTTTTATATTTTAGTAGAGACGAGGTTTTACTATTGTTGGCCAGGATGGTCTCGATCTCGACCTCGTGATCCGCCTGCCTCAGCCTCCCAAAGTTCTCCTCCTCTTTTTTTCTAAATTTTGTAGTTTAATTTTTGTGTTCGTGTTGATGACCATTTCAATTTTATTTTTATATGTGACATATGTAAGGATTAAGGGGTGTTTTGCTTTTTTAAATGTAGAAGTCAGGTGCAGTGTTTCATGCTTGTAATGTCAACACTTTAGGAGCCCAAAACAGGAGGATCACTTGAGGCCAGGAGTTTGAGACCAGTCTGGCAACATAGCAAGACCCTGTCTCTACAGAAAAGTAAAAAAAAATAGCTGAACATGGACAATACACACCTGTGGTCCCAGTGACATGGGAGGCTGAGGAAGGAGGATCGCTTGAGCCCAAGTGTTCCAGGCTGCAGTGAGCTGTGATCATGCCACTGCACTCCACTCTGGGAGATAGAACAAGACCCAGTCTCTAAAAAATATAAAAACACTGTAAAAATAGGCGCTCAGATTTAGTGATCCTTCTTAAAAAACGTAGTTTTCTCATTGTCATTCAGTAACTTGGCACGTTAATCAGAATATCAGTTGACCTTGATTGCAGGTGTGTTTTTAGACACTGTGTTCTGTTTTCTTTATCTGTATAGCTGCCTTACACCAATACCACAGTCTCTTATTGTTGCTTTATAAAAAATACTGAAATTGAATAGTTTAAGCCTTCCAGTTTTGTTCTTTGTAAAAAGAAGTTTCTTTGTATTGTCATCAGTTTTGAATCAACTTGTCAACATTTATAAACATGCCCGCTGGTATTTTTACTAGGATTGCTTTGACTCTAAAGATTAATTTGGGGCGAGCTGACATTTAACAGTATTGAGCCTTGGGCCTTGAACTTAGTACATTTCTTTATTTATTTAGGCTGTCTTCAGTTTCTCTCAGCAGTGTTTTGTATTTTCCAGAGTATAGGGTTAGATTTAGCAGTTGGTACTGAACTTTATTCCAGTGCTTTCTCTGTTTTCCTAGTCCCACTTAGTTTACAACCACCTTTTCCTACTTGGAATTTGTTTCAAATGCATAGAAGTTTCAAAATTCTTGTATGTACAGTCCTGTGTCACTTGATGGGAATATGTTCTCAGAAATGTGTCAGGCAATTTCATTATCCTGTTGATATTGTAAGAAGTAAGAGTGTAGTTACTTACAACAACCTAGGTGATGTAGCCTACCACACACCTAGGCTACCAAAGTGTACAGCATGTTACCGTACTGAATACTATAGATAATTGTAACATGGGGAGGTATTTGTGTATTTAAACATAGAAAAGATACAGTAAAAATATAATCTTACGGGACCACTATTGTATAGCTGGTCTGACCAAAACATCATTATGTAGTGTATAACTACTTGGATCTCTTTCTGAATTTTCTTTAGGGGTTTTGAAAGTTGGAAACAAATGAGAGAATCTCAATTAAAAACCAGAATAAACCTAAAGGAAAAAATGTATTTGCTACTTTTCAATATTATGATTTTATCTACTTTGGCCTTATAGCAGTTTTAAAGAAAACTTTATATTATATAATTGGTATTTTTTAATACTTTAAGATTTTGATTGGATTAGATTACCATTTTAAAGTATATGCAGAGTCCACTAGTGCTGTGTATTTTTGAACTTAATCCAAGGATTTGATTTAAGTTAACCTTATTTAAAATAATTGTTTGAGTTAGATAATTTCTGATTTTTTGTTGTTTCATAGTTTATCTGGAAGAATGTGAACTGGCTAAACAACTTTATCCAAAGGAAAACGATTTGGTGTTTTTAATTCCTGAGAGAATAAATGAAGAGAAGAAAGATACAGAGGGAAATGACATGCAAGATCTCCGTGAATATCATTGTGGTTATGTTCATAAATTCCGCCGCACTTCAGTCAGTAAGTAAATAATGAGGCACGGACAAGAAAATGTCAGATACAAGCTCATCTTCTAATTTCCTTCTAAATTGTGTATATCAAGTATATTTGATATACATTACCAAACATGTTTTTGCTATGTGATTACTTACCATTCAGAGTCTCTTTTCTAGGTTTTCTAGACTTCCCTGGAAAAGATCCCATATTTATTTTTGTAATGTTCTATCCTTTTGTTACATTTATCTGTCATTGCGTTTGCTCTAAAGTGGACCGTTTGCAAACCATCTGTTGTTTCTTAAATTACATTTCATCCTTGGTTTTGTGGCCAATCACTAATGAGATGACCAAACATAAAACTCACTGTGGCCGGCCGCGGTGGCTCACGCCTGTAATCCCAGCACTTTGGGAGGCCGAGGCGTGTGGATCACGAGGTTAAGAGATTGAGACCATCCTGGTCAACATGGTGAAACCCCGTCTCTACTAAAAATACAAAAAATCAGCTGGGCATGGTGGCGCATGCCTGTAATCCCAGCTACTCAGGAGGCTGAGGCAGGAGAATTGCCTGAACCCAGGAGGCGGAGGTTGTGGTGAGCCGAGATCGCGCCATTGCACTCCAGCCTGGGCAACAAGAGCGAAACTCTGTCTCAAAAAAAAAAAAAAAAACTCACCGTAAGGCAGCTTGAAGTATCTGCTTATATCACTTTCATCCACTATATGTCTCTCCCTAGGTAATGTCATAACAAAAGTGTTAGCCTAAATTTAACAAATACCTGATGTATGCTAGACAATGAGACTTGTCCGTCTTATGTACACCTATAATCTTCCCCAGAGCCCTAAAAGGTAGTAGAAATGATTCCTTGCTTATCAAGAAACCATGGCTCAGGGATGTTAAGTAAGCTATTCAAGGCTGTCATGAGTATTAAGTGGTAAGGCCAGAATTGAAACCTACTTTTGTTTGACGTTCTTTTTCTTATGCCAAACTGCCTTTTTGGCATTGGTAAGTTTCTTAGTCTTAGTTATATGAAGAGAATAACATTATTTCATTATTTCGTCTCCTTTTTGCATGATATCTTAAAAGTAGCAATAAAGTGTGTCAGCATTATACTGCATTATAGCAGGTGTACCATGTTTATTTGTGTGCTCAGGGCTTAATACTGTAGAATGTAGGATGAATTTAGAAGAGTTGCAATGAGGGTTGATGGTTTACTCTGTGCTTTTGGCTCTTGCCAAATTTATAGTTCTAAGGCAGTCTCCTTCCCTGAACTCCTCATAGATCAAAACCGTCTCTCTTGGTATCTCCATTTGTAAAGTGTTCGACATTTCAAACCCACTAGTCCAAAAGCTGACACCTGATTTTCTGCCTGACATCTGCACTTGCTTCATTCTTTCCCATCTTATTAATTGGGGCCTCCATTCTTTCAGTTACGTAGGCCAAAAACCTTGGAGTCATCCATGATCCTTACTTCTCTCACACCTCGCTTCTAATTTGTCAGCAGATCTGATTGACTTTTCCTTTCCAATATATCTGAAATCCAGTTCCCACCTCTACTATTACATCCTGGTCCAAGCTATCATTAAATTTTACCTAAATTACTGCAGTAACCTTGTAAGTGGTCTTTTTGTTTCTATACTTCTCTCATTGTAGTTATTCTTTGTTCTGAGGTAAGTAAGAG